AATGCCCAGGTCTGCCTTGTAGCCTCGGTATCTTTTTCTTCTGTAGCAAATAACCCAAATTACAGACAACTTAACCTGGCAACAAATGTAACAATTTACTTCAACTTTAAAGGAGAACTACGGGGTCCGGGCTTTCCCCCATAGTTCTCCTCAGGGTAACGGGAGGGCACAAACTAGCGTCCTCCCGTCACCCTAAGCTCAGTATATAGGGAGCTGCAGCTCGCGGTATACTGAGACGCCGGCGCCGGGACGGATCCCGACAATTCTGTCTGGATCCGCCCAGCTGCGTGAGTGAAAGGCCGCCGTTATTGTCGATGGCCCCGTAGTGAATGGCTGCCCGGCAGAGGCTGGACATCTGTGCGGAAACATTTCTGTCATTGAACATCTCCAATCGATAGGAAAAGTCACAATGTGGCGACAGGAGCCGAGAGACGTCAAAGCTGCAGCTGCCAAATTTCTCCCCAAAATGACCGGCTTTCGGCCTTCCACACAAAGTGGCCGAGCTCCGGCCCAAACCACGCCACTACTGCGGTCAGCTCAGAACCTTTCTTCTGGACCTTTAAACATTCATCAGGTGACTTAACTGCTTGAAGACCAGGTGTTTAGATCCCCTACCTGGCCAGGCCATTTTTCAGTGTTCAGCGCTGCGGTACTTTGACTGACATTTATTCCGTCACGCAACGCTGTACTGAAATGAATTTTATACCATTTTTTGGGGACAGATAGAGCTTTATACATCCAAGAAGCTCCCGGCAGGCCGTGTATACACAGCGGCTGGCCGGGGGGTAGTTAAAGGAGAACTACGAGGGCGAGGGATTTTCACTCAGCCTCATAGTCCGAGCCGACGTGTGACAATGAGACTGTCACAGGTCGGCTCAGTAGATCGGGAAGTGAGAGAACACATACCGGCGCTCGCTCACTTCTCCATCATCTCCCTGCAGAGAGCGGTGACTGTCACTCACGGCTCCCTGCAGGGATTCCTCCCCGCTCCGATCCCCCAGCGCGCATTCCAGACATGAACCCAGTTAAAGGAGAACGGAGGGGGGTGCTTCTCACTCACCTCATAGTTGTAGCCGACCTGTGACAATGAGACTGTCACAGGTCGGCTCAGTAGATCGGGAGGTGAGGGAACACATACCGGCGTTCGCTCACCTCTCGATCCTGTCACGGTTCTCTGCCGTGACAGGGGAATGACTGGATTCCCCCGCTCCGATCCACCAGCGCTGACTGGAGGAACGGACGGGGGAGGGGGCGGGTACAGCCTCTAGATAGGCGGAGCCAGCTGTCACTCACGCAGCTGGGCGGATCCAGACAGTGATGTCCCGGCTGCGGCGTCTCAGTATACCGCGAGCTGTAGCTCCCTATATACTGAGCCTAGGGTGACGGGAGGACGCTAGTTTGCGTCCTCCTGCGACCCTGAGGAGAACTATGGGGAAAAGCCCCGACCTCATAGTTCTCCTTTTAATAGAAAAGGAAATGCGTTTTGGGGGTCTGAACAATCCCCCCTTCATCGGGGCTCGGATGTTAAATGCGTGCTTGAAAGCTCCGTGTATTTCACGACACATGAAGGAGAAGAAAAGTGGGGCAGGAGGAAGCCCATCTGGGGGCCCTGAATGATACATGTCTACATGAAAAGTACTCAAAATAGCAAAATCAGGCGAGTGGATTGATATACAATGAGTGCAAATAACACTAATATATATAATATGTATTCAAACCCCAATGAGGGGTGATTGTCGGGACCCCTGAAACGCGTCGGCTGTTGTATTTTCTGCAACTACAGCTTGTAGTTTTCCTGGTCTGGCGCTCTTCATGCAACTTCTTATCCCTTTTCTTTTTTCCGGTCCACTGGGCAGGTTTCTCTTCACTTCTCCTCCCGGAGACACAACAGGAAGTGAAAGGAAATCTCCCCAAAGTAAGGGAAGTCCCTTCTTAGACACAGGTGACTCCATTGGATGTGTCCCCTTTGTTCCCGTTCTGGCGGCTACATTTTGGATTTCTCATTCTTCACGTTTCATCTCGGTGACAGTGGTCAGTAGGACAAAGGAAGAGGGGGGTCTATGCTCAGCGGG